TTGGTATCTTTCCTGATGGGTTATATGATGATCACTATTTAGGCAAAGGGAGGCTTGTTCCCGCGATACCATATTTCTAAATGTTCCTCTTCCGTGTCAAATTTGATGAATTCCGTTTCGCAAAGATATAACCAGAAAGTTCCTTCTCTTTCCATCCTACTAAGAATGCCCTCAATTCTTTCAGTAACGCATACATTAATTGTTCTCTCATTGGAGCAATATACAGGTCCAAAAGATGGCATAACTTCTATTTACGTTAATAAATGAATGATAGGCGGTTTTGTAATTACAACTTTACGGCAGACTGATCTGATATGTAAGGAGTGGACATCCTGGACTTCGAGGATGCTGTGGTACTTATATCTGCTTGTTCTTTTTTCTCTTCTACTGTCGACTTATGATTTTCTCTCTAAGGATATTTTATCAATGTGTGATTCCTACAGCGGTGTCCTGAGTGGGTTGTGCCCTGTTTCGTACAGAACCGTCCGGGTGGAGTTAAGCATTTTCTATAAATTCCACGTTTTCGTGTGTCGGATAGAAGAGTGTCGCCCAATTTAGTAGGTGCAGGGGAATACAGAATGCGATATGCCATGTTTATCAGTAAATAAAACAGATGGAGAATAATGTTTTTCGACTTCTTCCGTATGTGTCTAGGCTGTTATGTATAACGACTATTTAAAACGACAAAGAAATGGACTATTCTCAGGAGCATTCTGGCAGGATTATTACATATAGCAAATTCGACATTCTCCATTTGGGCATCTCCTCTACGTTGTATGTTACGGAAAATTTGTCTACCCCCACATTGAAGAAGAGTGGGGCATACAATCGTAGATGAAATGTTTCGCGGCCTTCAGATATGTTTCCCCCATGATGAGTCGCAATTCGTGAGCTCCTTTTGACATGTTTTTCGCATTGCAATTGTGCCTAGCAGTGCGATTGATTATCCTCGTAATTTGTTAACTAATTCACGTACTTGAGGTCCGTGTCTCTAGAAGTACGTGTCCCCTTGGTTTTCCCGGTACGAGTCGTTCGCATCTTCCTGTACTCTGTAATTATGAGACTTCTCTCAGGTAATCTCACGTTAGGGCATTCATATGAACACCATTGCAATATAACATGTAAGTATGCGCATTATATTCTGCCTTTGAAGCTGTTCTGCTCCAGGTACGTCATTATCAGGCTTGTGAGCACCTCCGTATTATTGTTCGTTCGTCTCCTCTTATAGGAGGCCTGTTAATGTCTGTGCTTTATTCTCAATGTGTTTTTTTCTGCACATCCCCAGAAAAATTCTTTGTGTATCTGCCATGTTTGGGGACGTTTGCATATTCTCCTCGTTCAAACAGTTTCCTATGTGGCCACCCAGGTACAATTTCACGTCTTGTGAATTCTATTGCTCTTTGCATTCATCCAGTAGCATCATGAATAGCGTTATCGACACTTCCGTATGTAGTCCCTCATCTGTAATTACACACACTTCGTGGTTATGCACCCCCTGTCTCTCTTTATGGCAATTTGTTCCTGACGTGTTATTCGTCGTCTCATGTATTACATACTTGGCTGTTTCCTTCTGGTAGACCCTGATAACTTTCTAAAAAGAACTATCTGGAATATATTGTTTCATACGTATGTGTTGTTTTGAAACCTAATTGCTACATACACGCCCTCGCCCCTGCAGGACAAGAGTCTGTCTTCCCCGGTTAAATTGATTGGTTGTAGACATTACAATTTCCTGAACCCATTGTTCATCCCTTCTGCGTCCTTTCTGTAATCTTTGGAATTAATTCTTCTGTTTAAACATGTCAGAAATATACGAGTCTTTATGTTCCAAACAATGCCACTAATGTTTTGGTATGTACAGATCACCATAGTTGTGTGCATCTATTTCCATTAGGTTTCTCCGTCAGGTAATTCCACCTATCACACCTTTATTTATCATAAATGCGTGCACCATTACTTGGAGGAAAATTTTCTTGGTAAATTTGCATTCTTCTTTTCTGATTCATCTAAAGGTTCTGTATGTATATATAGAATCTTCTACGGAACGTTTGTTTTTCATTTTGCATGTATACACTCTTTGGGATGTCTTAATTACATATTAACTACTCATATTCAAGGTTGCGCAATGGTACGTGGTCATTATCATATATCCTTCTTTTTTTGGAAGTCATGGCCAAACATTGCTGTCTGTATGTGTACCCTTCTTCCGGCTTTGCGCTTTCAGTGTTTCACGGGAGACTGCGATTCTAAGGGCGGGTATTGCTTTAGGGGACAAAGTTGGCACGGGGAGTTGGTTCCGCTTGCCTGGCGTCTTCTAAATGGTGACCACAGTGCAGTAAATGATATTTTTTGCGTGTGTATATATATACATATATCTATACTTCCATAAGAAAGGTAACCTCTGTAATGGGCCCCCCAAGTGTTAAGATAATAAATAACACCTCAATAAAGGCAATGGCATCATTATATAGTGTTTGTGGGGCTACACCGCGTGTTGGGTGTCGTTAGGATTTCCAATTCCCTGTCCAAAAAGTCTTAAGCATAAGGACAGAGGGGGGAACATCCGTAGCACCTAAAGACATTATGTAGTCCCCACAGCGCAAAATTTATGTGGGGTGGGTTGTGACAGATTTGCATAAACTGATAGTTAAAGCACCGAGGCTGGTGTATAAAATAGACTGAACCTAGTAGGAAAGGGAAGAGGGGGGCGATACCCGTTGGGTAATATCCGCGGCTGGGGGATCCGATGCAGGAGGCCTCCAATCTGCACGTACAATAT